CAGAAGTCCTTTGAAGGTAGCTGCCTTCTGGTTCATTCAGGTTTTTTCCGCTAACCGTAAAGGGGAAAGAAAAGAGACTGTGAGTTAAATATATGATTATTCAGAAATAATAATATCATCCCCAGAATTTGATAATGGAAGTCAATTTTTTGCCAAACATTCCTGTAGAGTTACTCTTACTGGTCTTCCTGGCTAATGCACTTCTTGCAAATAAGCCTGTAAGTAGGTTTATATTGACTTTGGAGATAGAATGATGGAATTAGTCAAATTCTGACACTTGGAGCTTTGGTAGTACCTCTTCTTGAAAACTGACTATATTCCTTCTTTATAAATGTCTGGATTCATTGCTAAATTAGTTAAAAAGCAAACAATCACATTCTGAAAGCAGGGAGAATCGTTTCTTTTCCTATGTAAAACTGATTTGTTTTTTGGGCGGTGGGGTTTTTTTTACTGCTTCTCTAGTGATACCATGCTATAAAATAACTTCACTCATATGGGAATTGCCAGAGATTTAAACAATCTTATTCTTGAATATCTCAGAAGCTCTGGGCAGAAATGGCCACTTTACATTTGAAGCATTTTAATAGGTCTCACTTTTGTCAGCTGTATTTTAGTGAAAGGCTATCTTGTTACTCTCTTTTTTTGGTCTTGATTTAGTGCTTCTTTCTTACTTTTACAGATCACTTTCTGTATAGCACAGAAATGCTGATCCAAGCATGTTGGTGTTTGCCACCTGTAGTCACTGGTATAAGCAGCCAGTGAAAATAAGCTTTCAATAACAGTCCTGTAGGTTTGACTGTCTGCCAAAAAACACATGCTTGATTCCTGACCCCTTGTACTATAACAATAACACAAGACACACAACCACTTTTGTTTATTGCTAGACTTCTTACATAGCTACTGAACCATGGTGGAAGTAACATGAAAGTTCTGTGCTTCTTGTAAATATTAGCATTTTCATCTCTCTCAGTATGTGTGAAAATGGGATGGGGAGGAAATTTCTTGGCTTTGAGATCGCAGAGAGAGTTCTGTAAATATGGGAAGATGAAAAATCAACAATAAATCACAAACAAACTGGACAAACTGCACCTAAAATCTTGTTACTTTTGTATCTTTGGCCTCTAATCTTTTTGCTGTCGCTCATCTCATCTTGTATCTGTTGTATTTATTAGGAAAATGTTGTCTTATTCAGAGGGACTTGCTGTCTTGCTTTCACAGAGCGTATTTAGGGCTTTGTGTTGCCATTTGTCGCTGCAAGTGTAATTCAAATGAGGTTTCGCTTTCTGTACCATCCATTATGTGGCTTCGTGGTTTATCTAAACAAATGCTTATGAATTATGCTTGGCTCAAACCAGTACAATTAGTCCATCTTCCCCATAATGCCAGCAAACTTTTCACTAATTTTCAATGCTTCAGTGTAAATTTCTACTCTGAGAGGAATGTTCTCTCTGCTTGTTTGTTTGCACATGAACTGGTCATTTACTTTTCTTTCAGTTCTCTACTTTTGTTTTAACTTCCTGATGTGCAAGCAGGAAACATAACAAATAATGTTTCTGTTCCATTCATTAATCATTGAGTAGGACTTACAAATGGCTATATTATTTTTCCCTACCTCTATGTTGTGCAGTTATAGATTATTACAATCTCTTTCTTTTCTTTACACTTAAGAATTTCAATGTTAAGCCTTTCCTGATTGACCATGTTTCCAACAGCCCTGGTTGTTCTTACTGCTCTCCTTTGGGCTGTCTCTAGCTCCTGTATAGTTTTCTAGACGTATCGCCATCAAGACGAGATACAGTACTTCATCTGAGGGCTTTCCAAGGCTGAACTTACTGGAAATTTTCTTACTTAGTTACGGTCCTTTTTCCAGCATCATGACATTGCTCCTCTGTGTTGAGCCTGGGATCCGGTATAATCTCCAGTTCTGTCCTTTTTAAGGAGCAGTTG